CTAAAAGACTCGTCAAATCAAAATACAACAACATCGCCCAACCTGCGGAGAGACGACTACGAAAGAGTGATCGCCGGCAGCAAATACCCGAACCACTTCGCCATCGATGCTGACGGGACAAGGCACGGTGCACATTTTCGAATCAGATATGCCAAGCTGCCCACTACTACCTAGTCCAAAAGCGTATAGTTTGCCTGCAGTCATCACCAGCGTGTGACACCTGAAGTGAGCGAAATATCATATCATAAAACACTATAATAAATAAAAAGAAGACAAGAGTTATTTGTACGGAAATGACAATGTGTCCTTGGAAGTCACAGACGGAAGAAGAGCACAAAATCTTCAATTATAAACATTCTATGGAGGTACCGACTTTTTGGTCCAAACTCGGTTCCTTTTCTAAGTAGCAATGAGTTTCACACGGCGTCATGTGCATGTGAGCCAAGTTGACCCGTATGACCAATGTTTTCGGTCCTTATGGTTGACCGTTGACAGTTGTGCCAACAGTCGTGATTTACACGGCTGCTTGCACGGATCAGTGGAGCTTCTTTGACTTTACGGATAAAATATTGCTGTTCATGCGTGATGCCTTTCATCTACTCCCTAAGTATAGCGTGCTGATGGATTACGGCATGCTGCACGACAGCGGAATTTCTTTCAGGTTCCACCAGAACCTTGGGATTCTGTTTTCTTCGTTTCCTCAAACTTGGTCGAGTCTTTTTTCTTTGGCATCTGCGTACTACCACCTGGTAAAGTTTCTTTTGTGCTGGCCTTTCTTTCCTAAAGATATTGCCCATATTGCCGATGTACACTAAACCACATGAGGAAGGGAGCTTGCACATTCAACTTTACTTCTGTTACCCCGACTCATGCGGTAACGAAATCTGGTATGGGGTTCGAATAAAATTATTAAACCAGCCTTAGACGCAATACTTCGCAATTTTTCACTCAGCCTACGATCGTATTGAGGTGATATAAATTTTACCGTCGGGTGAACAGAGAGAATCAGACTGTCTTCACCTTCATTTATGATCTTCACTGGTTAACCATTTCTTTGCAAGACCAAATTAATATTTTTTAGTTCTTTGCGCAAATTACTTTCCATGACGCACATTGTCCGTGCTCTTTATAGAAGCGTAATGACAAAAACTTTCTTTACGCTTTCTCGATGGCAAGAGCAGCAATGAGGATATCGATCCGTGTGTCTTCCTATAAGACACCGATGTCGAACATCCCTGATGTTGCTGTTCTACTAGCTCATCTAAGAACGGTAAACGACCATTCTCATCCTTCCCCACAGTGAACAAGATAACGCCAGGAAACAGACTGTCTGCTCCAAAACGTGACATACATATATGTACTGGTTCAATATGACAAGAGCAGCCTAATAAAAAAGCCACGCTAGGTCTGCTACTGTAACTATGCCATCATAAACAACAGCAATGACATAAGAACTCTATGAAAACGACATGGCGACATACTTACCTCCCGCAGGCTACGTCTACGACCCTTGAACCCATCATCTCCAACACCTGTTTTGGAAGCACCTCGTTGTTCACGCTCCCGTGTCCCAGCTGGCCGTACATTCCAGCTCCGAACGTAAACAGTTGGCCTTCCTTTAATCGTTAAAAACATTGTTAGGTCCTAGACAGGCAGACAAACAAACATACCGTTGTGATTACCGCCGAAAATTCAGCACCACAAACGATCCGAGCTATCTTCTGACGACGCAGCGAACTGACGAACGTCGGAAACAGCTTCTCTGAAGAAACGAACAAGAACAAATCAAACTGCAAATTTCAAAGCACTAAACAACAACCATAAACGTAATAAAATAACTGTGCATAATCAATAACTGCATTACACATTTTCAATATTAAGCCCTGAAACATAAATCTAAATTTCCCATCGAACAATTTAATAAATTCCATAAAATAATCCAGTTTGTCAGGATTATAATCTACCATCTGACAAACTTTTTTGAGGGTCGACGACATACGGGTAGCAAACAACTAATTGTTCGTATCTACACAAAGAAATGTAAAAAGATCCACTCATGATGATGAACCGATACATTAAATTTCATTTTTGGACAATATGAACTCCACTTAAGTATAGTCTAACCATTTATATATCTACAGATTTTGGCAAATGCTGACACCAAAAGCCAGAAAAATACTAAACTATAAGAATGCGGTGTCAATTTCTGCCTTGAGACTGTACAACGTTTTTCTTTATGGTATTTTCGAAAAGGATTCTGCGTAATGAATGCAAATAAAAGTTCGAGTTTCCCACGGCTGTGCAAAGCGGTGGTTCAAAATTTCAGTCGCCAATAAGCTGAATGAAAAACGTCAATATTTGACAAGCCTAAAATTTTACAACGGTGTAGGAAAGTTATTAACTTCAGAAGAACGGTGGGTAGGGTGACTGAGGATGGAACGCAGGAAATATCGGCTATGAGTCCAACGCTCTACTGACTGAGCAACCCCGGTCTAACGCTACTAACTGTTTGACTTGCTGAATATTGAAATTTGTCGATCGAAATACCGTCGGCAAAACTTTTTGAATAATCGTCGATACGATCCATGAGAAACTTGAATTTCTATTTACTGATTTTGGGTACAACAAGCTTGTGGTACAGAAAGGCATGCTTTACGGCCGATCTGCAACTAGAAAAGTCTAATTTTCACTAAGTTAAGTTCTTTAATTTTTAGTTTGATCTATCTGATCTACATAAACCCTTTACTGAAAACGTAGCAAAGACCATTCATTTAACAACTACACTTTGCATAGACTATCAGTCAGCTATCAGGTGAGTTGCAGTGGTAAAGCGTACGCATCAGATATCATAGTTCCAAATCTCATCTTTTGGTATGACCATAACAAAAACAGTTTGTTCCCGAAATCTAACGCGCAAAGTAACGCTACCGCCTACTCTCAGCCACACTACCCGCCGACTGTCTTGATAAATATAATAATGCAACCGGTGAGAAGCTATTAGATTTATCATCCAGCTAATTAATTAGAAAGCTACACAGCCGATTTATGCAAACAATCTTTTGTTGTATCACAAATGTAACATAGCAGAAACGAGCTGTTGAGCCTACATCTATTATTAGTCGATGTTACTGTTCACATGTCCTATATGTCCATATTTAGATTTTTGCCATGTTCAAACTATGCAGGAATAAACTACATTTACTACCCAATTCATCCTCCTCTGGTAAAAGCGCTGAGTTGATATAACACTCAGCATGATATGATAAAAGAAAAATTCATTCAAGGCATGAGATCTGTCCTACGATCAATGGAAAATTTATTGTTAGATTAGCGTCTACGGAGAATATACAATATAGTACTTTATCCCCAATAAACGACTTAATACTGAGCTTTATCCTCAGGTGAATACTACAATACTGTGCGGCTAAAATATGCACTTCAAAGATTTATCATTGTTGTAATTTTGGGTTCTCTGCTATATGAGGTAAGAAGCAATAAGGTGGCAATTTCTCCCTCTTTGACATGATTTACAAGACCTAGCACAACAACAAATTCAGAGTTATTATATCATGATTAAGGCTGACACGTAATTGTGTTCCTGCTGAGTGTAACTTGTCAAAAACAAGGCAACGTTCTAGCTTGGATCCTTTTTAGCCGCACTGCGAAACTGCAGGCTGTTTAAGATTTATGATATACGGTAACCGAACATTTTTCATATTGATATTAGGAGATATATTAAACAATAATGTACCAACGCATTACACAAATTTCTAAAAACATATGCAACTAACTCCACTATGAAAATCACATAACAGTTATATTGAAATTTTAATTACCAAGCAAGGTAAACAAACTGAGCCTTGTCATATTCCATCACTGTTATTATTATTTCGTTAAAAAACAATTTCTGGTCAGAAACTTCATAAAATACTAGTGTCTGTACATCTGTCATAGAGCAAGGGAAAGTGATTAACAAATACGCTGCCCTAATTTACAAAAAGAAATGAATAATAGATTATTTTCTATGAGCCACAAAATAAAAGTTCGCAAAATTTACTCAAAAAATAATAAAAATCAAACTAGAATACCGCAAAACTTCGTACCTTCAGTGTCACCAGATCCAAGCTGTCCAAAACTAAAATTTAAATTCAATATAGCAATATCGACAAAACGGGAGCAACGTTTTAAATACTATGAAGCTTGAAAAAATACACAGAGAACGTCGAAAAGGGATCGTGCGTATTTCCGATTATGATCAATATTTATAAATTTGCTGATTTTACATTTCATTTTGAAGTTTATTTTCTTTTTTAATGTTTTTTATTTTATCATCGCTGATTTGGACCTGTTTCGACACATGTAATAATCATAAGGCATGCTTCTGTTATCTTCATTAAAATTTTCAGTTGTTTTTTCTTTGATAAAATTACCTCTACGCAGAAGTATGCTGATGTAATTTTTCAAGGATGGCTTCTTAACAAGTGGAAAAGGACAACTTCATCGAAATATGCTAAAAAATGTAATGATCGCACATCAGTGCTAATTTAAAAAATAGCAACGAACCGTCAGGAGCCCCTACCCTTATCAGAAAATAAATGAATTTGCTGCTCTTAACCCCTGTTCGATTCATACCAAATCAGTGATTCAATTCCTATCTGCGGTTTCTAAATGTCCTTCACCCTTGTAGAAAACAATGTCACTTGTAACGTAATATCGATCCATAATGATGAACAAATGTTCCTTCTTCTGAAATATCACAATAAAGAAACTAGAATGGCGAGGAAACAATAATGACGCAATCACATCTTTTCGATATAGCCTCCCTGGAGGCTCGGTCAATGGAGTTCGTTACCTCATCATTGATTTACCACGCATATAAAGCACAGCACTGAAGTGGAGTTAGCACTTAGGACTTTTACTGTCCCAAGAACTGACAAGGAGCCTTTGTCGAATTACTGATAACATCTATGGCGCTGGAACTGGCAATACGTAAATAGCCAGTCTCGAATTTCAGGGATGCTATGGTCAAATTCCGTGCGTAACATATCTCTAAATAATAGCTAATTCGACAATACAAGGAGTCACTATAGTTGTTGCAGCCAGTCGAGTTCCAAGACCCTAACCTACGAACAACACGGCAAACATTGTGGGTACGACCATGCTATTTAATGTGTGCGCTTTAGAGAAACCACTGAGTTTGACCCAAGTGACAACTGAATGAAAATATAATCGTTAAAAAACGCAAACCTTATACATCTTTAGAACACATAATACAATTTATTCAGAAAAGTATAAAATCGTTTTAGCAAAAGGATTACAGTAGTACTCCTGAGAAGTACGTCTGATTATTATTCTTAGTATTGTTATATATCCTCCTTTATGCATGAAAAACTTTTGGAGTAAAATAAATAAGTTTAAGAAAACGCCCTAAAGAAAAGTTAAGAACCATTAAAACCGTTTTGCATTTGTCAGCCATGGATAATCATAATGAATTTGATAAAACATGTCTTACAGTCGACTTTGATAATTTTTCCGTTGCCATAAATCTGACAAAATTGTTGGACACATATCGAAATGAAAAGGATTCCTTTTAGAACAATGGACACTGGTAGCTGGCAGTAGAACCAGATACTGAAAAAAGTCAAGACGATATGTTTACGACAACCGAGACTGCATATTCACTTTCATGAGGATACAAAATCTAGCCTCTGAGTTGTTAATGCTACGCATTCTTCGTTAATGAAAAAATTAAATAATCCTGAGAAGCAGCAAAAGATGCGAAAATTTTAAAGGGCCTGAGCTATTGCGGGGCTGAGTAATGCCAATCAAATGATCCATTACCCGTACTACCATAAAATACTGAAAAAGGTTCTTTCATCAATATGTCATCGATTCAGAACTTATAAGAAAGCAAACAGATCCAATTGTAAGCTGTTGGATGAAATCGATCTGCACGAGTTCTAGAAAATTCTCTACTCCTCGAAGGTAGAGGTAAATCGAGAACTATCGCACATTGCCTCGAAGACCGTTACCGATGTCAGCTGTAAAGAAATAGAGTGGACAATCTAGAATGTAAGAGCTGCGAATATCTTGGCAGGGACGGCATAAAACCGAAAAATCTCAAGTCAAGAGGAATGACCCTGTTCAAGGCCCTTACCGAGCGATTAACAGAATATATCAGACTGAAAGAGACGCCAGAATCATAGACCTGCACTTTGAAGGTTTTCTAATTTAAGAAAGATAATGCTATGGACCTGAAGAACAATCGATCCATAACTCTCCTGTCACAGGCCTACATGGTCTTTACTGAAATCATCATTAACCATATTCGGAAAGACTCAGAACTGGTCACTAATTAGAAACAAGCCGGTTTCGAAATGGGGTTATCCACCATATACTACATCCACGCCGTGTAGAATGTAGCAAACAAATGAAAGGAATATCAATTCCTTCTCTGCATTTACCGACTTCAGAAAAGAGTTCGATTTTATTGAGCTGAACTATAAAATGAAAGCCCTGCACGACGGCCTGATCAAGGAACTGAATAATGGCACCTCAGCGGTCATAAAGCTATTCGATGAGCCGTGTCGAATCAACATCAAAAGAGAAGCATGCCAATGAGACTTCACATTTCTTAAACTTTTTGCGACGGTGACGGAATCCTCTTTATTCATCTGAACTGGGGGGAGGGGTTAACATCAACAGAGAACGGCTAATCCATCTGTTCTTTGAAGACAACGGCATTATCTTCGCCAAAGACTTAATGGAACTCGAAATAAAAAATGCACAGTTGCACATGAAGTCACGCACCTTCAGTCTGGAGACGAACATCTTCAAAAACAAATGAAATGCCAAAGAGCACTGTTCCGTAGCTACCATTTTCATCGAGGGTGAAGAAGCGAGAAAAAATGCCAAGTTTATTTTGGTCATTTAATTAACTTTAATAGCAACATATACGGCGAAATCATCAGAGGTAAGAAGGCAGAATGGCTAAGGTTCAATCACGTCAAAACATTATTGCTGGATAATGAACAGCCCGTCTGATATCCGTGAATAAAGAACTGCTAGACTTTGCCACCGTACCAATCTTGATTCACTGCATGAGTGCTAGTCGACTACCAAGGCTGAGGAAGAGAAACTAATAGTAACGCAGGGGCGACTAAAAGAAGAATACGCTTGGCTTCCGTTGGAGATCATGTTCCAAGTGCGACAGTTCGGTGTTGGACGCTATTTTTCAGTGCACACAGTGCTGTCTGCAGCTCGGAGACAATAGTCTGAAAATGTGGATCATCCGAAGGACAGCAAGTCTGTGGACATCTTGAGTTATCAACTGGATCACCTCAGGCAGCAGATGTCTACTCGGTCGTCAACCCATACGCTACAACAGCTCAGTAACGGCAAAAGGTAGAACAACGAGAAGAGTGGCGAAACTTCGACTTACTTTTGTGACGTGGTCGTTGACGAAGTCAAGTTGAATAGAAGGAAAGAAGCAAATCCAATGGTG